AATCATAAGCTACTCAGATTTGCATATTAGTAACAGACCATCAAGAACAGATCTAAATTAATTAAAAACAACTGGCCACTAAATGTAAGGAAGTTTGAAGGACTAGATGTACCTTAAGGAGTTCTGTACAATGCATTCTTTTTACAAAGATTGCTGGTCGGCAAAGGGAAGAAGCTTAAATTTCTAGGAGTTTCTGCATTCTGGCTACTGTTGATTTGCCATTAGTTTCATGGCTTTAGACAGGGCACTGACTATCTCTGGCTCTGCTTTTGTTTTGTTTTGTTTTGCTTGTGTTTGTTTGTTGTGTTTTTTCATTTCTCTAATAAACTCTTCCAGATCAAACATTCTGGTAATGCATTTTCAACCCCCTCCAAAGTCCTTTTTGTGTCAGATTTAAAAATGACGGGGCTGATCCTCTCAGTGTTCAATTTCATTTTGCCAGAAAAATGAAATGTTTTGTGCACCTTCACATACTCACCAAGATTTTCATGAAATTTCTACACTGTATTATCTCTTGATGTTTAAGTATTCTTAAATAGCTTTGACGTTTTTTCAGATTTCAGTTTAACAGGAGTACTTTGTTCTCTAAGATATTTGGCGGTGGTGTTAAGTAGCTGACCTTATCAAAATTGCCAATTTATAAAAATTAGAAGTAATAAGGACATGTTGAAATGTATATTTGCAGATATCATAGTGCACAAAGTAGGTTTGTCGCATTAACTACAAGACAGTGTTATTGTTAAATAGATTTCCAGCTAAATGAATGAGAATTTGAGAAACTATTTCTTTTCTTTTTGCCTACAGATGCTGATATAGTAACTTTAAATATTTTGGTAATTTTTTTTTATTTTTTGTTTCTAGTTTTATTGAGATATAATTGACATGTAGCAAACATTGTGTAAGTTTAAGTTCTACAACTTGATGGTTCGATACACATATATATTGTGAAAGATCACCATAATAAGGTTAATTAATTAACACATCTGTCACCTTATATAATTAAAATTTTTTTGTGTGGTGAAAACATTTAAGATTTACTCTTTCAGAAACTTGCAAGTATATAATAGAGTATAGTTATGTATAATCACCTGGTGAGTATTAGATCTCTAGATGTTATTCATCTTTTTACTGGAGGTTTGTACCCTTTGACTGAAGTCTCCCCCTCCACCACTTTTCCTGCACCACTAACACCAGTCTCTGGCAACCAACAATCTGGTCTTGTCTTTGTGAGTTTGGGTATTTTTTTTTTTTTTTAATTTTTTTTCAACGTTTTTATTTATTTTTGGGACAGAGAGAGACAGAGCATGAACGGGGGAGGGGCAGAGAGAGAGGGAGACACAGAATCGGAAACAGGCTCCAGGCTCCGAGCCATCAGCCCAGAGCCTGACGCGGGGCTCGAACCCACGGACCGCGAGATCGTGACCTGGCTGAAGCCGGACGCTTAACTGACTGCGCCACCCAGGTGCCCCAAGTTTGGCTATCTTTAAATTCCAAGTCCAGTATTTGTCTTTCTCTGTCTGATTTATTTCACTCATTGTAATGCCTACCAGGTTCATCCACATTGTTGCAAATGGAAGAACTTTCTTCTTTCTCATGGCTAAATAATATTCCGTTGTGTATATATATGTGTATATATATGTGTATACTTACATATATATGTATATAGACACCACATTTTCTTTATTCACTCCATTTATCAGTGGACTCCTGGTTGTTCCCATGTCTTGTCTATCATGAATAATACTTCAGTGAACACAGCATCTCTCTGAGATAACTGAACTTCATTTGCTTCTATTTTTAATTTGTTTAGGAGCCTCCTCTGTTTTCCCTAGTGTCTGTACTAGTTTCATTCTCACCAGCAGTGTGCCAGGGTTCCCTTTTCTCCTCATGCTCACCAACACTTGTTAGCTCTTGTTTTTTTTTATACTAGCCATTCTGACAGGTATGAGATGATCTCTCATCAGGGTTTTGGGTGATTTGCATTTCCCCAGAGATTAGTAATGTTGAGCTTCCTCTCATGTACCTGTTGGCCATTTCTTACTTGGAAAAGTATCTGTTCAAGTCCTCTGCCCATTTTTTAATCAGATTTTATTTTTATTTGTTTTATTTATTTGCTGTTGAGTTGTATAAGTTCCTTCCATATTTTGGATTTTAGCTCCTCATCTGAGATACGGTTTGCAAATATTTTCTCCCATTCTGTAGATTGCCTTTCCACTTGGTTGACTGTTTCTTATGTTTCGCAGCAAGTTTGTAGTTTGATCTTACCCCACTAGTTTATTTTTGCTTTTGGTGCTTGTGCCGTTGGTATCACATCCAAAAAAAGTTATTGCCACAACCACTGTCATGGAATTTTTTTCCCTACATGTTCTTCTAGGAGTTTTACAGTTTCACTTCTCACATTTCAATGTCTTCTTAGTCCAGTTTAAGTTAATTTTTGTGAGTGGTAAGATATGGGTCTCATTTCATTCTTTGGCATATGAATATCCAGTTTTTCTAATACCATTTATTTAAAAGACTGTCTTTTCTCCTGTCATGTATTCTTGACTCCCTCATCAAATAGCTGTTTACTGTACATGCAAATGTTTATTTCTGGGTTCTCCTTTCTATTCCATTAGTCTATGGGGTCTGTTTTTATTTTAATACCATACTATTTTATTACTAAAAGTTGGTACTATAGTCTGAGATTAGGAAGCATAATGCCTCCAGCTTTGTTCTTCTATCTCAAGATTGCTCTGGCTATTCAGAGTCTTTTGTGGTTTCATACAAATTGTAGGATTTTTTTTTATTTCTATGAAAAATGCCATTGGCATTTTTATAGGGATTGCATTGAATTTATAGGTAGTTTTGGAACTGCGGATATTTTAACAATACTAATTTTTCCAATCTATAATTACAGATACCTTTACAATTATTTGCAACCTCTTTGATTTGTTATTAAAGTCTTATCGAGTTTTAAGTGTAAAGATCTTTCACTTCCTTTGTTGTATTTATTCCTAAGTATTTTATCATTTTTTATGATACTGTAAATAGGATTGTTTTCTTTATTTTCCTTTTAGCTATTTCATAGAAATGCAACTGATTCTTGTACATTGCCTGGATAAGTCCTTCAAACACGGTAGACTTCAAACTGCCATCATCTTGCACTTACTAATGTACTCATAAGTTTGTATTACTAAGGGACAAAAAGCTTTATATTGGTCCATTAACAATGAAGAGTAAATTTAAAATAAAGACATTTAAGACTGACAACTCTACGTGACACACTAGTGAAATGTATTCACTTGTTTTATGAGATGTTTATCGAATCCAGCCTGTTACCAGTTACCAATCCAAGCACTATGTCTGTAGCAATGAGGAAAACAAAGCCCCTGCCTCACAGATAGGAAAATACCTGCACTGACATGCGGTGCTAAGTGATGTGAAGTAAATAAAGAATTATGGCAAGTGTTGTGTTAGTTCAGATAACATTTGAGCAGATACATGAATAATAGGAGATGATCAGCCATGTATATACTTGGGAGTATACCATTCCAGGTAGAGAAGAGCTTATATTGGAATAGCCTAAGCATCAGAAGGCAGTAAAGCTTGAAGAAGAAGAGATAAGGACATACCATGATCTGGTTACCTTTTAAAAAATCCCTGTGATGCTATATGGAAAATCAGGTGTAGGGGAGCAGGTGACCAGGTTTGAGGATATTTCGTTGGTGCTGCAGGTGAGAGGTGTTGGTGAATTGGTCAAAAGTCTTAACAGCAGAAGTGGTGAGAAATGACTGGCCCTGAATCTATTTTGCATTTGGAACTATAAGATTTGCTAAAGGAATAATTGTGAGCTCTGAAGGAAGGAGAAATGTGATAGAAGAATTCTTAAAGTTTTAGTTCTGAACAACCAGCAAAATTGAAATTACATATAATAAGATAGGAAAGACTGAAGAAGTAGGTTTGGGAAGGATATCAAAGAATTCTCTTTTAATATGTCAAGCAGGAGGTTCATACAGGAGCCTCAATCTCAAGTTAGAGTAGCAGTTAGAAATTTGGAAGTTGTCAGCCTACAGATGATTTTCAAAGAAATTATCCCAAATCATTGGTTTTTCTAAATTCATAAATATATTAACTATTATATATAATCAGCTTCCATTCAGGCATCATCAAGTTTATGAAGTGTTGGCTATCATCCAAGCACTGGTAGAACATTCTGAGAGTATAGTAGAGATATTGAGACATTCAAAATACAGATATTTAACATCAGATAATTTCTATATCTCTGTTAACTGGAATTTCAAACATTACAATATTTTGAATCACCCAGCTTAGTACTAATATGTTATTTGGTTCTTTCATATTTATTTAGTCTATTTTTAACTAGATTTTTTAAGCTCTTTGAAAGCAGGGGCTTCCCCCCCACTCCCCCGCCCCATCACACAGGATGCCTACCACAGTTCTGGAAATATACTAAGACCACAAAGAATATTTGTTAATGGATGACATAATTTTTTTAAGTTTATTTGTTTTGAGAAAGAGACTATGAGTGGAGGAGGGGCAGAGAGAGAGAGAATCCCAAACAGGCTCTGCACTGGCAACACAGAGCCTAACCCTGGGCTCGATCTCACAGACCATGAGATCATGACCTGAGCCAAAAGCAAGAGTCTGCTGCTTAACCAGCTGAGCCACCGAGGTGTTCCTGATTAGATGATTTAATTGTTCAGGGCAGTATTATTTTTGTCACCATGAGCTTTATTTTTTCTTCATCATGGATTATACAAGTGATTTATCTAATGAGAATACTGACAAATTCCTGTTACCTAGCTCTTCGTTTTAAAAAAATTACGATACTTTTGGGATGAGCACTGGGTGATGTATGGAAACCAATTTGACAATAAATTTCATATATTTAAAAAATAAAAAAATAAAAAAAATAAAAAAATTACGATATATTTTCTTTTACTCACTTCTTAATAGTACTATCTGGCTTTTATTCCCATGTTTATTATTTCAATTTGCAGCCTGATTCTACTGCAACTGAAAGAGCAATTGCTAGGCTAGCAGTGCATCCTCTTCTGAAGAAAAAAATAGATGTGCTAAAAGGTATGAATTAAATAACTTTTAAGCCATGTACCTAAATGCACTTGGGTGTATGATTCTGAATAAATGGCTATTGATTTATTTATTCTATGGTTTTTTTTTTTCATTTTGAGGACCTTTTATAAATATCTCCTTCAAATATTTTTAAATGTGGTAAGGTGCCTGATATGGAAGTTATCTGATGTCTAATGAAAAATTAAATCTGTATTTTTTCCTAAATTCTAATATATAAATATGTATGTATTTATATATATAACATATATTCATGGTAAATTTTAATACAACTGGTTTGCTAAATATTAATGTAATTATTAATATTACTTTTGATGTGGCCACGTACTCACATAATTTTCATTATTATAAAATGCATTGAAAGAATTAAATGTTGTCACAGATTAGAAGATATTTATTTTTATGTCTGAAAGCACGATTTATAATGTACCACAACCATATCAACACAATTTTGCTAAAGAAATTGAAGTGGCCATTTTATTTTTCTTATTTGTATTCACTGAAGTTTCCACTGTTTTTCATAATTCCAAGGCCTGAAAGGATGGTTAATTTTAGAGTTTTAAATTGAATACCTCTGAGCATTTCTCAGTTTGGTTTTTAAAGTCACTAGAGTTCTTCTGTGGGTTCAGATCTATCATATATATTTGCATATATATATTTGCATATATAATTGCAGTTGTCCTCTTAAGTATATCCAAATAGTTGAAGAAATACTGTACTGACACAGTTATGTTTTATTATCTGTTTTAATGCTGAAACAAGTCATGTGCTATTTTTTTTGCAGCTGCTGTCAAAGCTTTTAAAGATGCAAGACAAAATGTTGTTGAAATTAACTCATCAAAGAATGCTTCAGTAGAAAATCATTCCAAGGACACTTTGTGTTCAAATGATGATGCCAGTAAGTTACAGCATGAAGGAACTATTGTCAGTGAGCAAAAAGAGAAAGAAGCCAAAATATTGGCAAAGAAACCAAGAAATTCAAAAGAAAAAATAACCAAGATGGAACATGGACCCAATGCTGTAGACATTCCAGATTCTCCATCAAAGCCTTCTGAAAGGGATTCTGTAGTTCCGTCTGAACCGCGGAAGACACCTGCTGACCCAAAAATGAAAACAATAAGTAAAACTAAAAAAAGTAAAGGGTCCAATAGCTCCCTTGGTGATAACAGTGATGGAGAAGAATTACAGGAAGAAGAAAAGGAGTATTTTGATGATAGCACAGAAGAAAGGTTTTACAAACAGTCTTCAATGTCTGAGGATAGTGACAGTGGTGATGACTTCTTCATTGGGAAAGTCAGACGGACACGAAAGAAGGAAAGTAGTTGCCATTCTTCAGTTAAGGAACAAAACCCCCCCAAAAATGTGTTACCTGAAGAAGATCTACTTGAAACCCATCAGAATATAAGAAAAGACAAAAACCCGCCAAGTACAGAATCAAGGAAGTTTGAGTCAGTGTTTTTCCATTCTTTATCTGGATCTAAAATCTCCAGAAGGTAAGAGTATTTTTTCTATCCTAAAATAATTATTAGTTCTTAATTTTTTTAAAGATAAGAAATATCTGCACATCCTAACTACGACAGAATCTCTCCCATACATACGTGTAATTTATACAACACATCCTTTGTTTAGACTTGGCCCTTTTGAATGTTATATTCGGATCATATTTACAAATACACATATGGGAGGGTGCCTGGGTGACTCAGTTGGCTGAGCATCTGACTCAATTTCAACTCAGGTCATGATCTCACGCATGGTTCTGGGTTCAAGCCCCACATTGGGCTCTGCGCTGACTTTTGGAGCCTGCTTGAGATTCTCTGTCTCTTTGCCTCTCTCTGCCCTGCTTTGTCCTCTCTCTCTCAAAATAAATAAATAAGCTTTAAAAAAAAGGGGACATCTTAAAATCAAAATTGTTTAAAATACCTAAATGGCAGTGCCACATTTATCCTGTAGCCAGGTAATTTGTCCAGCTAATTTAAGTTTATCCCTTAGATGACCAAAGTCTTCAAACTTTGAATTTGCTTTTGATGAAAACCTTTTGAAAATATCTCACATATCTTACTCTTTAAATAGAACTTTCTCTGAAAAGAACAGTGGGCTTTGGGGCGCCTGGGTGGCTCAGTCAGTTAAGCATCCGACTTCGGCTCAGGTCATGATCTCACAGTTTGTGGGTCGAGCCCCGTGTCGGGCTCTGGGCTGACAGCTCAGAGCCTGGAGGCTGTTTCCAATTCTGTGTCTCCCTCTCTCTCTGCCCCTCCCCTGTTCACGCTCTGTCTCTGTCTCAAAAATAAATAAACATTAAAAAAAAAAAAAAAAAGAACAGTGGGCTATGTTTTTGACAACCCAGAGCCATCATTTTAAACATCAGTCCTTTTCTTATGAAATGCTTGCTCTCACTGAGCTTCTCCGGACTCCTGTGTATTTGGTAATGTTGCTGCCTCTGTCCCTGCTATTCACCACCAGTTTCCACAGCTCTCCTGTGATAAGTCAGTAAGTTTAATTTCATTTGTAATTCTAATCTGGTAGGAGATAGCTTCACATGGTTAGATTATTTCTTCAGTAACAGCTATTTTCTTCAGAAAATTGTTTTTGTAAAGTCAAGGATAATTTTTAATAGAACAGAAACTTGTGATGTTAACATTTTCCAGGGAAGTAAGTGTAGAAAGACACACAACCATATTTGGAACCTTAAAATTAATTAAAATCGTTTTTATGTGTCCCAAACCTGCCTCACAAGGCTCCATTTCTTTTCTCACTTGAGAATAACATACCGTTATCCCTTCCATCTCTCACAAAATGTAAATCTTAATTTTTGTTACATGTGACTCTTTCCTGCTTTATGAAGACTTTAGAAATTTTTTGTCTGGATGGTCTTCAAGAGTGGAGACAGTACATTAACCAAGATAGGATATTTTATGACCAGAAGTCCCTGTAAGGAAGTGGGGTGAGAAGGAAATTCACACATTTCTGTTGTAATATTGGTTGTAAATACTGATTGTAAAATCAAACTTTGATACAGCTAAAACTTGGGGGGGGGGCCCGCTACCCTTTTTTTTACCGATTGTTGGGGGGATGAGGGAGTGCGATAGTCCTTTGAGTTTTATCCCTAGTTTATTTTATTTTATCTTTGTAAAGTTATTTATCTTTTTAAAGTCCTAATGGTCTTTTCTTCTTTTGGAAATTACAGAGAACAGCCTCCAAAAAGCAAAACCCCAGGTATGTATTACTGGCTTCCTGCCCTTTCTATGTAGTTAACTGATGCTTTTCCAGAATGGAAGGATAAAAACTCCGGGTTGCTTAATAGTCTGAATGAATTATGTACCCACAGAAAGGGGAACAGAACATTTTCTAATTATCAGTGTGATTTTTAAATTGTAATTGGTTTTTTTGTTGTTGTTGTTGTTATTACCTATCTGTGCCAGGAGGAAAGGTGTAAATAAAACTTACCAGGACATATTGGCTCTATTTGATTTCTCTTGAACTGAGTTATCATATACGTTATGTCTTAGCACCATACTATTAAATATTCAGTAACAAGTATGTTACTTTCTGGGTTAAGAGTAAAAGTATTTTCACATTAATTCATAACAAGTCAAATTAAATATATTTGGGTAGTCTCACTTCTATACATAATCCCTGACTCTCACTGGCTTAAAATAATGAAAATCTGTTTTTCACTCACATCACAGTCCACTGTGAATTGACAGTTTCATAGAGTAATTCAAGGATCAGGCTCCTTTCATCTTGTGGCTCCTTTCTCCTGCAGTTTCCGTTTGGCCAGCAGAAGGGAAGAAGTACATGGAGAATTGTGCAGGAGGTTTTCATGGGCCAGGCCAGAAAGTGGCAGGAATCAGTTACAATCATAATTCATTAGCCAGAATTCAATTATATGGTGCCATTTAGCCACAGGGGAGCTAAGAAACGTTGTCTAATTGTGTGGTTAGGAGGAAAAAAGAAAGTGGAATTTCTTAAACACGTAACTGTCTGCCACTGACCATCCTTCCCTCACCAGATGTGAGAGATTCCATTTCACTGCCCCTCCCCCAAACAGAGCACACTTCTCTCCTTCCCAGGGAATCCACCTCAGAGTCCCAGCCCAGCATCATCCATCCCCTGGATGAGGTGGTACTTTCCATCTGGTTTCCTGGACTGCCCCAAGTTTGGTGGCCTGGCCACTTAAACACAGACTGCCCGTCCCCAGCTCATAACCAAATATTTAGTGGCAGATCACAGACAAGGTAACCACAATATAAACTTCCAGTCAGTTAAGAGAGAATTGGGAGGCACATAACATGTCTACCATTACTGAGCAAAAATTGTAAAGGAGCTGGAGGAACTTCCTTGTCCATTGTTCTTCCTGGCTTCTGACTGTCTTCTTGGGAGGTTTTTGTTCTATGGCCACACCTGAAGCAGACATTTGGTATAATTTCCTTGGGGGCTGCACCAAGTGACTGCTAAAAACATATGGTCCTGGAGACCGTTCAGAGTCTTTCACATTCAAGAGAGTTTTTTCAGCCCAGACTTAGGGTTTCTGTCACAACACAGGTCCCTCCAAAACTTAGTGGATTTCTGACTTCTTCATTTCCCGTTAGTCCATCCATGAGCTAGTCACCACACCACCAATTTTTTCCTAGAGCAAGTTGTCAAACTTGCTTTCTTTATGTTTGAGGGTATTTTTTTCCCCACCCCAAGCATCATTCCATGTGTCTGCTGTGTTGAGACTCTCAGGTTTGGTTGAGAAGGCCATACTCTACTCTTAACTTTGCTCTGGGGCTGAATCTCCAGAGGCCTTTACTGCTTAAAATCTTAGTCTCCCGTCTTACTTTCAAAGTCCAAAGGCTTTTCTTAACCTTAAGTTAGTTCCCAGATATCTGGATTCTCTGTTGCTTTCAGTTTCTGTCTGTGAGCTGGCCAGTTCTTTCCTGGACGCTGCTCTTTTTTGTAGTCTGTTGCCAAAGAGCCATCACTACACTAATTCTTTTATTCTTTCCCACCACCTACCCTGGTGTTGGGAACTCCATAGGCATACAGGCTGCCTCCCAGGTTCTCACTTGGCAACAGTGAGAATGGCCACAGTTCTACCCATTTCATTGGCATGGGAGATATGCCCACTTTTCAGCCTCGGGTATCCATTTCCTTACCACCTACCACTGAACGGCCGAGCCACTGCCAACTGTACATGTTGTTGTGATGGCTGCATCCTCCTTCCGAGTGGCACTTTGCTCTTATTCGTAGTAGACTGCCTGCTGTAGCAAGCAGCCACCAAATCGTGGTGATTGAATTCTCATTCGTTACAGCCTATGTGCTCTTGGCAGCCTCCTTCCATCTCGTGCCTCTGGGATTTCTCTGTGCTCTCTGGGAGCAGAGAGAGAGATTAAAGGATCGAATGTGAGGTTTTTCTGATCAGACCTTTTGTTCACATGTCTTTGGCTATAACTCAGCTTCATGGCCTCATCTAGCTGTGGTCAGGATGGGGAATGTATCCTGGCTGTGCACCCAGGAGGAAAAGAAAAGTAGGTCTGGCAGACACTTGGCATCTGCCTCATTCACCTTATATTCAGACACAGAGTAACTGTAAACTGCAGGCACCCCCCACATTTTCCCAGTGAGGAGACCCAAGTGGAAGGGCTTTTGTTTTTTCGCTTAGCTTATATATTTATAGAATTTAATTTATAATGTGTTTACACCTACAAATATACTTTACGTAATTATCTAAATATATATATTAGTTTAGAAGACTGCCTTATTTAAATCTCATTTTTTATGAAGCAGTTTCTTTTAACATTTAAACTCTTTGTTCTTCATCACTAGAGCCACTCTGAGTATTATATCAGATTTCTAGACCACATGTGATTTGTGTAGCATGCAGGACGTTTTGAATTCTGTGTACAATAAATGTTTTGGAAATGTTGTCCCAAACTGTGCGTTTGTTTGTGTAATGTTACGACATTTACTTTTTAAGGAGATCTTGAGAACGCTTTTGACAGTGAATGATGTCTAAGTTGCAGTGGAGAAATTACACTTCCCACGTACTACTTAAAATCTCTGTTACATTTTTGTCTCCCTTTCCCCCACCCTCATTCTATAAACATGCATTAATTCATGTCTTTTCTGGCTGATGTGTTTCTCACAAACGCTACTTTCTTGTTCAAAATAATGTAGTTTTGGGGCGCCTGGGTGGCTCAGTCGGTTAAGCGGCCGACTTTGGCTCAGGTCACGATCTCGCGGTCCGTGAGTTCGAGCCCCGCGTCGGGCTCTGGGCTGATGGCTCAGAGCCTGGAGCCTGCTTCCGATTCTGTGTCTCCCTCTCTGTCTGCCCCTCCCCCGTTCATGCTCTGTCTCTCTCTGTCTCAAAAATAAATAAAACGTTAAAAAAAAAATAACGTAGTTTTAAGTATCTTATAATTTAAGAGGATGTAAGGACTAGAAGCAACTTGCCACCCTTGTATCTGGTGGATAATTTTATGATTGAAAAAGAGCTTTGTCTTAAATTGGAGTGAATTTAGTAATTTATCTCATAATAATTTTATGTTCAATAACAAGGCAGTGGAATCAATCAGTAGCCCTTTAAAAATTCATCTCTCCTCCCATCACCATGGTCAGATCGACTATTTTAGTAAATATATGTGAATTTTCTGGCTACATCATACACAGATATCCTAAACTAATGATGTTTAAGATGCTCTTTTCTTTTTTTTCTTTTTCTTTTTTTTTTCTTGGCCTTCCATGTTGTCTGCATTGTTTTCTTCTTAAACTGTTTCCTCAATGCAAATAAGACAGCACAACATACATGAGGAGATACACAATAAACATCTGTTTAAAATATTAGAAGGCATGTGTCCCGAAATTGCCTATTCATATGTATATTACAATTTCAAACTATACCTGTTAGACTTAGATTTTAAATTGTGATATATACCATTGAAGTAAAATTAAATTCCTTCTTTAAACGCTGATGTGAGAAAATGAAATGTCTCTCCCTTGTATGGTCTTTAGGCATTTAGTTTTCACTATTTTTGCTTTCTCCTCCCAGGTTTTCGGCAAAATGAACTTCAGCTCAAGAATCCGTTTAATAGGAGTGCACAGAGAGGACTTGAAAATACAAAACAGCAGTCACAGCTGCCTCTTCATCCTTCATGGGAAGCAAGCAGGAGGCGGAAAGAACAGCAGTCTAAAATTGCTGTGTTTCAGGGGAAAAAAATTACATTTGATGATTGATTAGGACTTCTTTCTGTGAACCAGCCTGTTATTAAAGTTATGTTTACATAAGCCGTGCACAAATCAAGTACATACTTAAATTGTTTCTTAATAATATACCCGCACTCTTCCCTCTGCAAGAATTCTGAGATCACAACTCTCTCGGTCTTGGTCATGTGCACTTATCATGAAGTGAATATGACAAGTGTAGCTCTTGTTTCTTGCCTTGAAAATGAATGTTTAGGAGATATATTTTCTGTGGAAAATATGAGGAAATTATAGTTATTTAAAATAGATCATCTTTCCTAAGAGTTATTCTTAGCAAAACTAAGTTCACTTTTATTATGGGTATGAAGACAATAAATTATAAAAATAAATGTTAATTTTTATTATACTTTTAATGATTTGTGATCTCTTTGACTTTTAAAATAAGCTCCCAGTTTTTGATTTCTGAATTTTATCTTTAGTTTTTAGGAAACATATGTGTTTAAGTGTAGCAACACGACCAAAAAATTGGTTATATATGTCACTGCATAGAAATACTTGTTTATATCAAGAATGTATAACATGTAGTTACTTTAATGTGCTTTTATAGAAACATTTTTTTTTGTGGAATCATGGATGGGAATTTATTTATAAGGACAAATCCTGAAGGAGGTATGATTGAAGGAGCATTTCCAGAGAACAAGACAGGATTTTGAAACTCCTTTCAAATGTTTCACTTTGGCTTCTCTGGAAGAAATTAAAGGTTCTTGGTTAACTAACTAAAGATAAGGAAATTCCATGTTGCTGTTAATGGCAGGAAAAGGCCTCTGGTTAGCAGAAATTCATAAGCTCTGGAGAGTCATTTCTGTCATTTTCAAGAGCTTAAGAATTTAGATAACTAAAGCAATGGAATTCAAGAGAGTATACAGAAAGAAAATTGTTTTTTGCTGTTGAATGCAAAATTTACTTTCCCTGCTTTAAAAATTTTATTTTGACATGTCAATTATATAAAATTAAAATTAATTTCCATTGAAATTTTAATTATGAAAAATTATTACAGGAAAGGTGAAAGAAAAATGTGTCCATGCCTACCCAGGTTTAGCCAAATTGTGACTTGGAGAGTACTGTCCTCCAGACCACCAAGTCTGTCCTAGACTTCTTATCCTACTGCAAGGAATTAGGGCCCAGCTACAGGGTTAGAGGGAAGAGCCCACACAAGACACGAGACCACTGTCACTTCTCATACTTCTGACACCTCTGCAGGTTTGGAGGTGGGGGTTGTGGGGGAAGGGTTCCCCAAACACCCTTAGGTTCAAAAATTTGCTACAAAACTCCCAGAACTAACTGAAACCTACACACCCACCCACACAAACACACACACACACACACACACACACACACACTGAAACCTATTCAGAGTTACTGTTTATTACAGGGAAAGGGTACAAATTAGAACCTCTCAAAGGAAGAGATGCATAGGACCATGTCTGTGAGGGTTCTAACTAACACAAAGCTTCTGTTGTCCTCAGGACACTTTACCATCCTGGCATCAGTGTGCTTAGAGTTTGGCCAGTGTTAGAAGCTCACTCAAGTTTTGGTGTCCAGAATTTTTGTGGTGGCTGCAATATGTAAGCATGATCAGTTGATTGCCCAAATGATTGTAGCTAGCTGCTGCCCTAAACAAAGAGACTTCTATCAGGTATTCCTCAGATTACCTCCAAGAAGCCATTGGCAAAGGCAATTCTCTCTTTGGGCAAAGCCAAATTCTTTACTGCACAATATTCTTCACCCAGGTTCTCCAAACAGTAACATTACCACATTTGCTTTATCCGTGGCTCTCCTCCTCCTCCTCCTCCTCTTCCTCCTCTTCTCCCCCCCTCTCTTTGCCATTGTTTTTGTTATAATATTTCATTTGTCTTCTTATCGTGTTCAGGTTTTTCTCTACTTCCTTGAACACATGAGACGTTAATAGCTGTTTTAATGATCTTGTCTGCAGTGGCTCTCAGTTTTGGGGAGTTTTACCCTTAGGGAACATTTCGCAACATCTGCAGATATTTTGTGTTACATCTAGTGAATATAGGCCGGGGATGCTAGTGAACATTCTACTTTGTATACAGCAAGAAATTATCCATCCCAAAATGTCAGCAGTGCCAAGATTGAGAAACCTTGGTGTAGGGTTCATTTGGCTCCACTCCAGAGGCATTCCCATTCTGAGCATCCTGCCTGATGCTTTGTCTTTTATTTAGCAAGTCCTTTTGTTATATCTGGTGAGATGAGAACACAAACTACACCTGGCCCTTTGTAGGTTGTTTCACAAACTCCTTTCTGGTGAATTTTTTCCTGGCCTTGGCAGATTCCTCATACATTGCACAGATCAGTCTTAAGCCATAGGCTTGACAGGGTCCTGCAAAGATCTCCAGAGCACTTGTTTTCTGTTCATCTCCTTCCTCTCTAGTATTTTGCTTCAAATTCTAGTCACAGTAGTCTATGTAAACTCCGAACTCTGTCTCTTCAGTAAGGCCACTGAGCTATTCTAGGGTTCCTTCCCTCAGCAGTGTAGTTTGAAACTCCATGCAATGAGCTAAAGCGCTCAACTGGTTTGTTTTCTTTCTCTGAGTTATTACTATATTGTACTGCCTTTTGTCCATTGTCTGAAAACCTAAGTTTTATATATTTTATCCAGTCTTCTAGTCATTTAATGTAGAATGGCCAGTCTGATTCCTATTACTATATAATCGTCAGCATTAGAAATCCATTGTTTATTTTGATGCTCAAATTGTCCTTAATTTGGCCAGTCGGAGCCTACTCAGGCTGTCTTGTGTCCTTTTGCTATCTAACAGTGAGAAATATGGTTCTCCTTATCCACAGTATATTTACTTATTATCTCAACCCTAGAATACACAGAAGTTAGTTTCAAAATTGCTAACTGATGCCTCTGCAAAATACAAGTCTACTAGCCAAAGTTCAGTATAGTTTTAGAGTTCTTTTTTCTTTAGCTCAAGGACAAATGGTCTCAAAACGAAGTTTGAAAGTTACCCGAAATGATGTCAGCAAAAATGGTGGAGTAAAGACATACTGAAATTCTCTCCCTAAAAAGCAGTGAGAAAACTATATTGTCAGAATCAACCTGTTCTGAACTATGGAGTTAGCCACAGGTTGACTGCAATCCAGGGAGTATTTTTCAGGAAAGGATGCATCTTGGTAGGAACAGTGATCTTTGTGACATTTTAACTTGCCCTATTTTCAACTTCTCACTCCTCAGATCCTTGATAGTTTTGAGAACCAGCAGCTCACAATCATAGTGAAAACCAGCACCCTGGCAGCCACTAGAGGAAGAAGAACAGGGTTGGACCTGCTTCAAAGATACATTCACTGAGAACTGTCATTATTTGACCAATGTGGTTATCCACTGGAAGACCCCACTTGCAAGTCTGTCTTGACCAAGAACTTGCTCAGTGTGAAAAGCCTTTTCTCCTGATGTCACTTTTCAAAAACTATCAGAGGTAATTGTTTAACATCACATCTGCCTAAGGCAGTGAATAACAGTTGAGGCAAATGCGTTTATCAAAAAGCTTGAAAGGAAATCTGGAGAATTCAGTATCCTTAGGGACTTTGATAAGTTTTGGCATTTCTTGGAATTAAGCAAGTCATGTGCATGCATAGGGCTGTGTCTGTGTTCAGGAAAGAGCTGAGAAGGTGCTAAGCTCTTAACTTCTAGCTGACCTTGAGGTTCTACTCAAGCAGGAAATGAAGGCTCAGGTGGAATTGTCCACTTCCTGGCTAAGTGCTGAAGGTGTGCCCCCGTACACACACACAGAGCCTCTCAGCAAAATTGGAGAAGTATTGATTCCAGGCATTGAAGGAAATCTCTGTCCAGTTATTAGTGTACCACTAAACTAATGAAGCAGAAACTTCAGTGGCCATACACAACAAAGAATCCAGACTTGACAGTTTCACAAAAGTACACTAAACGGCAACAAAAAACAGGAACAACAAGCCCTAGGGAGAGAGGAATGTCTGATTTTTAGATTTGCACCATTATAGTACTTAAAATGACCAGTTTTCTAAAATACTAGAAGACCTGCAGAAACAAAGTATGTCCCATATACGGAGAAATAAAAGCAAACAAACTGCCCCCCAAGAGGCCCAGACTTCAGAATTATTCAACAAAGACGTTAAATAAACCATTTTGAGAAGATGTACAAAGAACCGAAGGAAACGATGTTTAAAAAACTAAAATAAAATCTGAGAACACAGTCTTACCATATAGAGAATATCAACAATGAGATAGAAATTATAAGAGAAAAAAAAATTAGGAATTGAAAAGTACAGTAAATGATACGGATAATTCAACATAAGTGGCCAATAGCAGATTGGAGCAGGCAGAAGAAATATTTGGTGAAGCTAAAGATTGGTCAATTTTTTCCTATTTAAAAAAAAAAAAAAACAACAGATATTCAAAGATGTGTGGAATACCATCAAGTGTACCAACATAAGCATAATGAGAGTCTCATGTGAACTGCCTTTTCACTAATAGCTGTAGACCTTAAAAGAATTGAAAAATGTTCAAACAAAAAGTAAAACATGAATGTTCATAAAACATTATTCATAATAGCCAGAAAGAAACAACCCAAAAACCATCAACATAGGACTGGATAACAATAGTAGTGTGTGTGTGTGTGTGTGTGTGTGTGTATATATATGTATGTATATATATATATATACACACACACACACACACATACACCATGGAATACTACTCAGCCATAGAAAGGAATGAAGTATTGATATATACCTCGACTTGAATGAACTTTGAAAACATTGGGTTAAGAAAGAAGCCAAACAAAAACATGGTTCCACTTACATGAAATATCCAAAATAGGTAAATCCATAGGGACCAAAGTTAATTAGTGATTACAAAGGGCTAGGGGAGGGAGGAGTAGTGACTGAATGACTGCTAATGGGTATGGAGGCATTCTTTTTTGGATTGGTGAATGTGTTCTGCAATTGGATGGTGGTGTTGGTTGCACAATTTTGTGAATATACAAAAATCCACTGAATTATGTGCTTTAAGAGAATGAATATACGGTATGTGAATTATATTTAATTTTTAGAGTAATAACAGTAAAAAGTGACCTGGGTTAGTGCATTTTCCATGCCTTTCTTCCACGTAGTAAGTACATCATTTGTAATGAACTTTAGTTCACATGTTTCTGATGTATTTTCCTTAAAGGATTTTTCTTCCATCCTTGGTAATTTTACTTTATTTTTTCTTCATGTGTGTGAAACATGAACATTGTTCCATAAGTCAGAGGTGCACAAAATGGTATACTCTGAGAGGTGGTGGCAACTCCTCTTTCCAATTGTTTCTTTTCTTTTTACCCAATTCCCACCCATCCCCTCTAGATAATCCATC